TGTGTGTGTGTGTGTGTGTGTGTGTGTGTGTGTGTGTGTGTGTGTGCATCATTGAACGAAGATTCTTTTTGAAATTACACAGCATAACTAAGGCTTGACTACATAAACAAGACTGTTTATCAACTGTGGAAGACAAATATGTAATACTATGGATGTTCCACTACAGGGAAATCTGCAACTATGATCAGAGATGGGATAAGAGGCATCCATGGAAAAGTACATGATTATGAACAAGCCATTTGCTGGGTATGGCAGCATACATCTGAAATCCCAGCATTCAGAGGCCAAGGTAGGAGGGACTGCCAAATTCAAAGCCAGCCTAGGTCACATAGTAAGCCCCTCTCTTGCTTTGCACCTAACTTCTAATTCTTCAAGCTGAAGTAACTGAAGACTGGTCTACCTACTTGGAATGGAACTGCTGCACATAAATGAAATGGGAGAAGGCGCAATATTTCTCAGCTATTTCTCCCTCCAATATGAGAGAGGGGCACATTCCTCAAGATCATGTCTCTAGTGTATAGTGGTGTGGGAAAAACTCAGGAAAGTCCCAAAGCACCTACACCAAAGTTTTTTTTAGTATTCCAGAACTACTAAAATCTTCTCTGTGGAAGCACTCTGCAAACCCAGCTCCACACAAATGCAAATTCTACCATTTGGGCACAGTAAGAAACATGGTGCAGTTCATTAAAAATTCCACCTTACCAGTTAGTTTACACCTCTGTGGCATCATCTATACTAGATCCAATTTTTAAAAATGAAACAGGAAGAGAGGGACTAAAATTAAAACAAAATCCCACAGCCCACATCCAAAAATCGGAAGTGTAAAATATACAAACCTAAAATCTTTGACGTCTGCATCAATCCCATTCTGCACTGGTAAACCATTGGTCTTGTCCATCACATCACCCTCCTCCTTCAAATCTCCTAGCTTATCTCCATCAAACGTACCCTTGTTCTTCTTTTCACCTTTGTCGTTTTCATCACTGTCTGCATCCCTTGGGCCCTGTTTAAAAAATAGCTTCAGCTTCACTAATCATCAACTAATCGTGGATACCCACTGTGGACAGCAGACTACACTAAATGCTAACTAGACACGACAGTGCCCACGCCTGACATTACAGTCTAGTTTACAAACAACACAGAGGCAAGAACACTGCAGAAATTTTTGCCAGATGGGGAAAGACAGACAGACAGGTATGTTACAGAACTGAGGACATCTTATACCATGTGCTCCTTCTGCCCCACCCCTTCTTCCCAAAGCCCAATTTGTGTATTTCTCAAACCTACATCTCTACTCTCACATCTGTCTAGCATACTCTTACATCTGTCTAGAGGGAAAGTATTTAAAAAGAAAAAAGTCTACGGCTTCCCACTATTCTATTTAAGTCCCTCCTTTACTTGTAAATATGAAACAATGTGTGCTAAAACCATTTGAACTCAATAGTCTCCACCTGATCTGGGGATGTATGCCCTATCAAATTGCACTACCATCCTCGTTCCACCTTGTTGCACCAAATCCTTAATATTTTTGTATTTTGTCTTGATTTTTTTTTTCGTCCGTTTGATTGGGTCTTTTTCGCATTGGGTTCTTGTTGTCCCTTGATAGCTTAGAACACACTACATACAAAGCTCAGGTTGGCCTGCGTTTTTGGTAACCCTCTTGCCTCAGCGTCCTAAATGCTGAGATAACAAATATGCGCCACAAACCTAGCCAAAACTGACTTTTTTAAAATGATGCTTCAAAACATATTAAATCTTTCTTTTAAGAAGCATACTCTAAAAACTCATATCTTCCATTACCTGAATGTTTCCATGCAAATTAGTTTTAATAATATAATTGGAGGCATTTCATACAAGTGAATATATTTCTGAAATGTTTCAAACTTTCAAACACTGGACCTATTTAGGTTGCTTTAAAGAAATGTAAATGTGTCTCCTCTTAGTAGCATCCAGCATAAGCCCTGGATATAGAAGGAAAAAAAAAAATTCCTTGATTTCCAAAAGGAAAGCAACTATCTATGAACTAAATATGGCAGAGAGCTTTGCAGACCCCAGCACCGCAGGGCACTAAGTAACTTTAGCTTTTATAAACGAGAGAAGCAATCTCGCTGTTCCCACCACTGACTCGGGCTTTATGTAGGAAACAAGTGCACATGCTCATTTAAAGTTCCTGGTACAGGACAAGCTGAGTGGACAGAAGACAGGCACTTCTACACCAAAACCTTAGAAGAGCTAACTTAGTGGAGCACAGAGCAGCAGGCAGTTAGTTGTGAGCAGACTGAGAAATGAACAAGCTGCACAGAGAAAACAAAACAAGCTCTCCAAAGAGTTAAGAAAATGCTTGATCAGAAACCACAATACAGGAGTTCCGACAGGCTCAGACCTGTAGTCTATTATTTCAGAGCCTGTTTTCCTTTTAAAATCATTCTCTGTTCAAATACACACAGGAAAAAGAAAGCCTTGGGGAAAATATGAAAACAGGAATGTGTGTGACCTGTATATACAGCTAAGACAATATGAAGCACAACAGTGGCCACCAAGGAATGTGACTTGAAGACTGCAGTTCTACAACATGCTGCTTAAGAACACAGAAGCACTGAAGGAGCACCCTGAGACCCCAACGTAGATAGGGAAAAAGACAAGACTCTGAAGTCCTAGAGCTTACACAATGACTAGAAAAAGCAGCAGCCTCCACATTGCAGAGAAGTACAGACACAGAGTTTTCATTTTTATAGCTGAAGCTATAAAGATGAATAAACTGTCTAGCAAATGCTCAATAAATATGACTAAGACAGGCTTTAATGGTGAGGGCTAAAACCTCCTGTGAAACTGAACTGCAAAAATAAGAAATTTCATCTAGTCTTTATCATCATTAAACCAGTCTAGATGGTGAGAATATCACTGCAATGGCAAAAAGAAAACATTAATGTCAAGGACCAAAATGCATCACAGGAAGAATCTCTACAAGCCTATAAATCAAAACTCGAGAAAAACTGCCCAGCTCCAATATCTCCTAAGAAGTTCAAAAGACATAAATCTGCACGGGAAATAGAAGAAAGAAGCAGTAGGAAGGTCCTACAGCAAGCAAGGTGCTGATGGCGAGCATGTTTAGTGAACAGCTCCATGTTTAGCATTCTCATTCCTTGGTGACCTTCACAAGGGCTTCCTTCCCATGAACCTGCTCAGCCTATCCATCTGCTCACTGGCCTGAACTGAATACACAGCCACTAAGTTTCATTATCAATTTCAGGGCTGAGGACTGAATTTTCAAAATATTCTCTGAGGTCGGCTGGTTTTCACTAATCCTGTACAACTTGCTACCTGACTTTCTTTCCCTAACAAAACATCAAATCTTTGGCAGGGCACTAGCAACTCTATCTGTTGATTTTTGTAGGGCATCTCCTCTTGCAGATACTTGTAGAAAACATTTATAACTTCAGCACTAGTGTGTATACCCACTTAAAAAGAAAAAGCCTCACTACAATGATATGCAACAATAATGGCCGGCAATGAAGCCTGCCTTCTGCATTATGTCAAGATCAGAGTGAGAAACCAGCTGCTATCAAGAGACCCATTTCACCCATATTCATAAAATAAAAATAAATTTAGGGGAAATGTAGAAAAGGAGTATAAAAAGTATTAATTGTTGGCATCTTTGTGGTTTTTAACAATATGTAATGTGAGGTAGTTATAGCTGTGTGGTCTTTCAGAAAGTACAAACACAGGTATGCCTGATCTATTTTGTGTTCTATCTGCAACACTTACTGGTCATAGAACTTCGGTCATTTCATCTCTGAGTCTTAGTTTTCCTATCTACTAAGCAGGGATAGTTTCAATAAATGGTTATGAAAAGCAATGAAATACTGTATTGTAAAGTTTAAGAATGTTATGTTATCCACATGTAAAACTACAGCACATAACACTTTTTAGGATACCAAAGGTTGAAACACTACCAAATACAAGCACATAACTGATATGGTCCCCCGGAGCAGTCACTTAAAAGTGGTTCTGGGGCTGAAGAGATGGCTCAGCAGTTAAGAGCACTGGCTGCTCTTCCAGAAGTCCTGAGTTCAATTCATAGCACCCAGGTGGTGGCTCACAGCCATCTGTAATGGAATCTAATTCCCTCCTCTAGTGTGCATGAAAACAGAGTGCTCATATAAATCTTTAAAAAAAAAAAAAAAAATTAAAAGTGGTTCTATAGTCCAGGCTGATGATCACAATCTCAGAATTTAGAGATTAACCTTAAATGGCAATGCAAAGGACAAGCACCAGGAGCAGAGACACTTGAGCATCCAGGCCCTATCAAATTCTGCACAGGGCGAATAATGGGGTGCTGAGAGATAGGGAGCAACACAGTGGGGGGAAAACATTGTCCACTGCTAGCCACCAAAGAGCCAGGAGCCAAGGAGACACTGTTAAGGACCACAAGCACAGAGGTGGCCTACTCAGACAACTCAAGCCTCCGCAGGACAACTATAGGAGAAGATAATTCCAAACACCTTTCTTGTTCCCAAGAAAGTCAGAACCAGAAATCCTCCTCTCACTGCAGGGTTCAGAAGACAACACTTCACACGGAAGAAGGTCATTTAGTGAAATCAGAGCCTATTCCATCTGTATCAGACAAGCAGTATTTTGTGAATCTACTTGCAGTTTAAAAAAAAAAAAAAATGATGCTGCTGACAACACCAAATCTTGTGTATACTAATTTCCCATAAAATACTCCCAAAACTTTATTGATTTTTTTCAAAGTATAACAAATAACTCATAGGAACAGATTTTCACCATCAAGAAAATGAGTAAAAATTGGCAGCTGCTAAACTTGTGGAACAACTTGATGAGAACCCACCTCAAAAGCCACCATAGCAGAGCAAAAGCCATACTGGGCAAAAATGAAATGACAACAAAGCTTTTGAAAACAGGACTCCCTCATTTTGCCTATGAGCCTTACTTTTCTCATCTATAAATTAATCTACAATAAGGGTTCTTCCAAAGATTAAACAGGCAATCCTTAAATTTTCAGTTCTTCAAAAGAAATCCAATCAAGTCAACTTGTTTTTCTAAGGTTAAAATGAAAAAAAATGCAGCCACTACTACATTTCATTAACTCTGAGATACTACCATGCTATGCATCACTAAAAAAAGGACACAACAGTAGTACAAGTATGACATGGACCCATTTAAAATATGCCCTGATTTTGGGCTGGAGAGACGTCTCAGAGGTTAAGAGCACTGGCTATTCTTCCAAAGGTCCTGACTTTCAATTCCCAGCAACCACATGGTGGCTCACAACCATCTACAGTGAGATCTGGTGTCTTCTTCCAGTGCACAGGCACACACATTATGCTATATGCATAATAAATAAGCAAATAAATCTTTGTTTTGTCTTTTTTTATTTTAAAAAGCCCTATTTCGATAGAAGCAAAAGTTGAGAGAAGTGTACAGTGGAGCATAACCTATACATGCATGGCAGTCACAATCACCCAATTCCTGGTGTACAAAAAGGTAAGAGGAGCAAATACCTGATGGGATATCCAAAAGGACAAAAGAAACCTACCTTATAAGCAAAAGGTGATTTTACTTAAAAAACTCTCAAAAATAGTTTGGTTTTGTAAGCCAAAATCTAAAGGCCCTTTAGATTATATTATAATGATATAATATTCCAAGAAGATTCCAACATGCAGTGAAGTGTTTACCACTTTAATACACATGTGAATCGCTGGGGCAGGGGAGTGGCTGTCTTATAGAAAATGCAGATACAGTACTATACTTCTGCAAGCCTAGCACTTAGGATGCTGAGGCAAGAAGACTGTGAGGTTGAGGCCAGACTGGGTTACAAAGTGACACCCTATATCCAAAACAACAAAAGCATGTTTCAGTTCAGGGAGGCTAGGGTAGGGCCTAGGAATCCTAAATCCTAGGATGAGGTTAATGTTATTAGTGCACAATAAAGGTTGAGTATCAATATACTTTGTTAATTACTATGACATTTCCTTGAATGGTATAATTGTTCCTGTTATACAGATGAAGAATCCAGTCGAGCCTCAAAGCCCTGGCTTCTATATGTAATGCATTACCCCAAGTTTCACAAAAGTCAATTATAGTACCAGCTTTCCAGGCCAAATCATTGTGACTGGATAAATAGCTACAAATACGCCTCCTCCAGGTCAAAAAGCAGGTGCCTGACACAACATGGGGAGCCCTTCCAACATCTCTGCGAAGTTAGGTTAGTGGCATGGACCCGATGCTTGCAGTGCAAATGGTAGCACTCATGATCCACACTATTCTTAATAACTAACTGTTCTTCAACCTACAGAAGAAAATCAAGGGACCAACAAGCAGTGTCCTTAGATAGGCAATTTGGGGCTTTCAAAATATAAGTTTTGTAACTACTACTGAATTCAGAAGATGGAGAGGGGAATATCTTATTCCAGGAACAAATAAAAGCTTTCAAAAGGGGCGGGGGGGGGGGGGAGCACACTTGGCTCTTAGATTCAAGTTTTTCCGTTATTCCAAAATCTGCTATCCTAAAAGCTGGAGATACACATGCTGGGTGTTAGCTAGCATTCACAGTTTAAGTTTGAGAACAATACATTTGTCAGTCTCCTGACAAAACTGAAAGTTAGCTAATTAGTTTGTTTGTGGCAGGTTCTGTGTAGTCCTGGCTGGCCTGAAATTCACTATGTAGAGCAGGCTGACCTCAAACTCACAGGGCTCCTCTGTCTTCTTGCTGGAATAAACCCCACACCCTGCCTCCTAAAAGAAATCCTTATCTCAAAACCCAAAATTACTAAAGCATTACAGCACCAAAACCAACTCAAAGAAGCACAATTCAAAGGGAAAAGAAAGGCAAAGAGCTAAATTCTTTTATTCAAGCTGTGACAAGGAAATCTCAATAAAAACAGACAACTATGTACTGCACAGTTAAGACTGGCCTCCACGTGGGCCACCTTGAAACATTAACATCTGGACTGGCAGCCGTCACTTTTGGGAAGGACTTCTATGTACCTGCTGTGAGTCCTGTATAATCACTGTGCCACAAATGATGCTGGCCACTCCACTTACCAGACCAAACCCCCAGCTGCTCTGCTCAGAAGCTAAGTGCTCTGCAAAAAATTTACTTAGATGCAGATGGCCCACTGTTAAGTTTCACTCTCCAAACTTAACACTGACCTAACTACTTTTGTTTTTAAAAAGAGAGTGGGACAACCCCCTTTTCAAGATGCTGTATGCATATCATTAGAAGAAAGTGATTCAGGTTTCCCATAACACAGTTTTCTCTGGGTTTCATACTAACAACAGCAGAGTAGGCCCAGGTTAGGGATAGCATCAGCAGAACATAATACCAATGCTGACCAGCGGTTCTATGATCAGCAGGCCTTCATGTTCCAGGAAATGGCACCTGTCAACACCCTGGCTTGATATCCATCACTCTTCTCTATTGATCTACAGATGGCACAAGTCAAAATATTGTATATCATTTTATTCTCCACAGCCATCCTCCTAAAAAAGGAGAAGATAGATTTGGAGAATTATTTATCTGACTGCTAAGAGCCCTGTCTCCTGGGGAGTACTGTTTTCACTTGGAGGTGAGGCAGTTATCAGTTCTCATCTAGCCTGAGACTTAATCTAGTCACAATACCATGAAGAGCTAAAAATCACCAATTTCCCAAAACAATGAGGTATGGGACCCTCCTTTAAAATCCAAAGGCAGGGCTTTATCATAAACTCTAAAATGACAGTAATAATTCCATTCTGTTTTATCTACTTTTAAATCAAATGCTTTTTCTGCCTCCTGCGAACCTCACAATAATCCTGCTGTGTGCCTGTGCCTAATGACCACAAACCAGAAACTGTCAAGAGTTCACAGCCATTGCTACCAGGGTCCAGGGTCACCTCACCAGCAGCTCATTAGTACACCACACTCATGTTTCTCCAGCGAATAGCTTACGGTGGTTCGCAGTGCTTAGAAGGCAGTACTTCATCTAAGAAATAGGACAAAGCTGTGAGGGAGGAAGAAAGCAGGGTTCCTTCCATTCTTCCCTTGAGAAGACAGGCAAATGATCATTTGGCTCAATCCCATTCCTCATATCCAAAGTGTGGATCTTGTCCTCCCCAAGGAGCCCCGAGAGAAGGAACAAATACAAAAGCAGTTCCCTATCTGATTTACAAGTCACAATGTCTGGACCAAGTCAAAAGATCCAGAAGCATTCAGGTCAGCTTTGAAAAGACTAGTCCTCAAGAATGTACTTAACATACAGAGAGCAGGCTACCAACACCAACTACTGCTACTTACAATTTTAAGTGACAAAAGGGAAATAGGACCAGCACAGGAAAATACTTTAGGGAACAAATGCAACATATAAAGAAACACATGTGTGGATGAAGCCAAAATTATGATGATATGGGGAAAAGAAGGTATCTTAAGGATTTGCCATCAGGTAGTATTAGGTCACAGTGAGTTCTGGAAAAAGGACTGAAAAGGTACAGAACAAAACGAGTTAGGAGGGAAAGAAGGCAAGCAGATAGCTGCGACATATAACACCAGCCACAGAGTACAAAATGAGGAAGACTCCAGTAGATATATTTAAGATTCTTCGAGCTATAAAGCTGATAATACAGAGTGTTTTAAGAGAGGCCATCACAAAGCTTCCGAGAGAATGCTAAGATTTCATAGGAAGTGGCACAAAGCACAGAGGCTGCTTTGGCTGCCATTCAGCCAGGGTAAGTGGGGTTAGTGGCAATGAATTAAAAAACAAACCAGAAAACGAAAGCAAAACAAAATTTAAAAAAATCAAACTCTCCAACAGGATAAGCACAGGAAACAAAGCTGCTCAAGAAAAGCCATCATAAAATTAAAATCTAGCCTGCAAAACATGAATGACCCCACATGCCTTGTCCTTTTTAAGGTTCTTAGGTAGTGGCCAATCATTTCTCCCACACAAGTACCTCATGCTGACATCTAGCTTCTATTTTCTTTATAAAGAAAGTCCTTCTCTTTTATGCTTTTGGTTTTAATGAAGAATGTTTTCTTATAGAACAATTAACTGAGACTTTGATTTTTGCTCTTACCTCACCTAACAATGTATGCCCTCATCCCACCCCCAGGGGGAAAAGAACACATTACTTTTCTATCTTTAAAGTATAGTTGACCTCTCCTGCTACACTTGCTAAGTTCTATGCTACAGCGAAAGTTTTAAAACATCCTATAATGAATGCTGTGAGTACCTAGGAAACAACAGGCGCGGTTTGCTTTGGGGAAGGGGGGAAGAAAGAGATAGGAACAAGTTCCTCAAGCCAACTTACAAATCCTCCTTTTCTTAGACAGGAATCGCCCGGGGATGAGCTCAACACATACTCCACCATGCTAACGCCTAGTCCCCCACTCTCCGATCGTGGGGACAGTACAGAATTGACCTCACTGTTCACATGGAAACTCTGACCAGGTCTTCTCTGCACCATGATTGGCTGGGAAACTGAATGATCTACAAAAAAGATACACAAGTATGACACAGTGCAGCCAGAGGCCCAAACAAATTATGAGTGATGTCTCGTGGATAAACCAATGTCTGGGAATCAATCAGGAGACCTGCCATGGTCTGCTGAGCCAAGGTCTCTTAGGTCTAGATATTCTATATAGGCTAAGGACACAGAACACATCTTTCCTCTATCTAGGAGAGCAGAGGAGTACAGCAGTTCACATAGAGAAGCCAATGTTCACCTCTTTCAAGTTGCAGAATTTCTCTGTTTTCTGGCAACAACAAATCTTTCTGCAGACTCCCTTTTACACTGTCCTGAAAGAGCTTGTCTGGTGCTTGTTTGGTCTTCCCCTCCCTAGAAGCTATGGCTTCTTTCTGCTGTTGGTGTTTCTGCCTCTCTCTACCAGCTTTCCCCAGACCTCTTTAGGGAAAGTCTACCACAAGAATTTCTGTGCCTGGTGATTTCATTCAGCCCCACGCACATTTAAAGATAACTAACTATCCCATATATGGCACAGAACGTCAGGGCAAAAAAGAAAAAGAAAATCATGAAGTTCAAAGTACAGGCTTGGATTTTCCAATTCCAGGCAAGCTGACAGCAGCACAGAGGGGAAACTCAGAGCTAAAATTATGGTCACTTGAAATGAGTCCATTCTCCTGTGACTAACACTCCAGAAAATATTGAAGAGTTGCTTTTGTGTTAATTATTTTTAATATATTACATCATCTAAGCTCCTTAGTGGCAATTATACTACAGGACAGGGCATTTGCTTGGCGTGTTTCTGCCACTGATGTGAAATCCATGACTTGCCAAGTGCTGAGGAAGGGAGCGCTAAGACAGGCACAAATCACAGTATAGAGGCTAGAGCTAGATTACCTGATGTTCCCCAGGCACTGTCTCGCCATTGATCACCCAGGAATATTCCTTTTGGTCCATCTTTGCTGGATTCATCTGTTTCCCAAAACTTTTTACCTGGCAAGAGCTGCTGCAAATTAAAAATAATAGATGCTTTTAAAGAATCCATAAAGAATGAAAGTACAGCAGTCAACACTTTCTTTAGACAAGGGTACTGAAGATGCTCAAGGGCCCTAAAGGTCTCAATCAAAGTGTTTTGGCTACACAGCTGAGAGCAGAGTACTATTCTTACTTGGTAAAAGACACAGAAAGGCCTAAAGCAAGGGGATACTAATTATAAATATCTAAAATCATTCACTTAGTCTGTATGAAGATTTTTGAGGAGGCAAGAGTACAAATACAAACATTGCCCAATTAGCTAACTGCTTGCTAAGAGGGCTCTAACTGCAAAAGAATGTACCTACGACTGTTAATACTTTCTGCACATGCTCTGACTGACCGTACAAAGTTACTCAAGCAAGAACACAAACCCAGCTATGAACCCCAGTTACAAAATGCTGAACACTATACACTGCTTCTATTAAACAACACTTCTATCACATCCATGTATTCTAAGATTTTAGGAAGAGAGAAAAGCCATTCGGCTACTTTGAGAAAGGAAATCAAACTTCCTGACATTTGTTAGGTTTAAAAATACTTGACAGTGTCATTAAAATGACTTCAATCAAAGAAACAGTGGTCTTGTTACAAAGAAAAATTCCTTAAAGCTGCCATAATTCTTGGTCTGCTCACCAGCTTTACTTAATAAAACATCTCCCTCTTATTTCCTCTAATTATGTTTTCTTTTCAACCATTATTCCTCAGACAGGCTACCAAGAAGTTTGTAATCACTATTTCTGAGCATACAAGGGCACACCTGAAGAACTGACTTATCCAATGTCAGAAACGGAATGCTGACTTTCAGAAATAAAATGCCAAAAAGCCCAAGAGATCTGTTCTTATCCTGGACAGGTTTAACTTTCCAACTTATTAGCTACGCCCAAGCATAATAAAGAAAACGAAGCTAACAAAACAAACCCCAGCCTCACTACAGCTTTCTCAGTATAGCATTAATCCACCCTCAAAAGGTTCCAAACTGTTCCACAAGTGTGAGTTCCAACACAGAACCAAGCCGTTTGCCACCTTTTTCAAACAGAACCCTAACAAAAAGACTTTGGCCTGATGTTTAATTGTACAAATGCTGAGCTGCCTCAAAGATGGACAGTTAATTATAAGCATCAGTCAAATTATTCCTCAATGCTTCTGAAATCTGTTTACTAAAGTAGGTTGGGAGGGGAAGAAGGAAAAAGAGGAGAAACAGGTGTCCAAAAAAGCTAAGCAGGAGCCAGTAATCCCTGAACTGATGTGTTCACAATTCTGATGTGTCCTGGCGACTACTATTAAACTGCCCCTTGGTGACCTCCTGTTTTTTCAGATGACAAACCTGTTTTTCGGAGACTCTGCCAATCAGAAACATCATCAGCAAGTACCAAGCACAATGTTCACCAAACAGCTTCTCAGGAAATGTATTCAGTGCCATCAGACATAAGCAAAATCATTGTCAAATTCCAGAAGAGATAATGAGAATTATTAACTATACAAGGGTCAATTTGAAAACTGTTTTCACATTCTTTTTTCCTTTCATCTTGTAAAAGATGCCCATTCCACCTTTAAGTGACAAAATTCTCATTCATATTTTGAAGAGGGTGAGACCAGACCAAACAGTAGTCCCAATTTAGGACTCCCTTTTTGTACTTCAAGGAACAACAATATCAGAACAAGAGGCCCAGCTCTTGTTGGTTAATGTTATACTCTATGAAATGGTGTAAAGAGCAAAAGTGATTAAAACAGTCCTTTGTTGTCATTTTTTCAGTCTTCATTTTCTACATAAACTCAAGAAAGCCTTGACAGTACCAAGCTCAACATATAAACAGACTTGCTATAATTTATCAAATTGGTAACTAAAAGCAGCCAGCAATCATTGAGCTCAAGGGGTAAAAGGAGACTTGCAGGATTCTGACATTGTTTATTTATAATCTATTAGGTTGTCACAATACACAAAGCAGCAAGTGCAGGTGAGCAGATGAAAGCAAAATGTTTTTTTTAGGCTCCACTCCTTAAAAAGGAAACAGTACAGTAAGCATGAGGCACATTGCTAAAATGGAGATTTTTAAGGCTACTGAGCTGTCTCAGAGGGCAAAGCTGCTTGCTTCCAAACCTGACAACTTGAGTTCAATTCCTGACACCCACATGTTAGAAAAGAACCAACTCCACATGTGTTGTACTCCACACACCACTATGACACACAGTCCACAAACACACATAAACACACAAATAAATGAACAATGAAACAAATGTTAAAAAAAATAAGGTAGAGAGTCTATTTCCTATTAGTAACAGATGCAAGAAACCTCAATAAAATATACATCAAAAATGTGTTTCTAGCGCACTAAGAGTCAACCAGTTCTACTACTAAAAATAGAAAACAACTACTAAACAGATACTAGAGGTAACCTCCACAGTGCTACAGCTCCTTATACATTTGTGAGGTGGAGGTAGAGATCAAGCTGTTATCAGTGTAGACACTATTTAGGCAAATTCCCAAGAGATAAAAAAGAAGGTGGGAGAGCAGGGTGCAGCATACTGATTGGGGCCAGGCAGGACAGAATGGATGCGCTGCATGGGTGCCCGGCAAACAGTAAAGGAATCCCTGAACCAAGGGAAGCTTAGTTAAGCCCTTCTGTATATCTCTGAGTTCTTCACAGAACCTTGCATTTCTTTACTATAAAGCCTACTGTCTGTACTCAATTGTGGTAAGCTGCAGAGCTGACTCCAAAAGACCTAGTCCCATTATAAACAAGACCCACTAATAAGATGCTGTGAGGTCAAAGTCTACCATCACCACAGCCCAGCTTGCTCACATTAGACAGCTGCTGTGCTGTGAACCACACCACAGAGTGGCCACCTTGGCAACAACAACAGATCTCTACCCAACAATTCACTAGGAACTGAAACCCTCACCCTAAGAGTACATTAAGGACTGGATCTTGACATCAACCACATGAATTTGAAGAAGATTCTTCTCTGATAAAGCTGAACATAAATTCAGACCTGGTAGAAATCATGCCTGGAGCTTGTGAGAAACCTTATGAAGTTCTGAGGTTTAAACAATGGCCTTCTGAACGGTCTAAAATCTGTTATACATTGGGAAACTGATCCAATCATGACTATGTGGAAGTGTGTATTTCAAACACTTCAGTTTAGTTTTAAGAATAACTCTCAACGGGTGGTGGTGGCACATGTCTTTAATCCCAGCACTCAGGAGGCAGAGGCAGGCAGAGCTCTGTGAGTTCAAGGCCAGCCTGGTCTATAGGCCTGAACAGCTAGAGAAACTGTCTCAAAATACCAAAACAAACAAAACAATTCTCATACCACTTCCAGTGCTAAAGTACAAAGATTTTTGAGTTAGAAAAAAAAAAAAGTAATTATTTAGCTCTGTCTAGTTCATGTTCTCCAATACTCTACCCTATAACCCTTCCACATTAAAAATAAGTAGCTTTTAAAACTGCATGCTGAGTGACAAGCAGTGGCTCAACACTTTCAACTCTATCCAGAGTCAACAAACGTAAGGATATCTATCTACCTTCAACTCTGTTAAAAGAGCTGGATAACAGCTTTATTATAAAACAAGATCAAGAATTAAATTCAGCAAGCACTCCTCCAGAGGTAATTCTATCCACAACATGAACTACAGCACCCCACAAGCCAAACCACTGCCACCAACACGTAGTTGTCAAACTTTTGCTTCAGTCAGACCTAATTTCAATTACTACAAATTTAAATGCAAGAAGCCTTAATTTATTTTTGAGATTTGGAGTTGGGGAGAACTATTGCTGGTCTAAGCAAAGTTCAAATGTTAAAGCACTCTGCTGCTGGGCAACATTCCCAGCCAGTAGACTTCTTTTTGTGGGGCAGGTAAAGGCAGGCAGGCTTGGAGGAACTCACTAAATAGCCTAAGCTGAATTACAAGTCTAGGCAACCCTCCTGCTTCAGTTTCCTGGTGCTGACATTACAGTCACAAAAAAATAAAAAATAAAATAAAATAAATCACAGCACAATTTTACAAAATTCACTTTCAGGGAAAACTAGGCTACTATAAAGGATTAAAATCTGACAATTCTAAAAGTAGAGTGGTGGGAACTGGTCCAATAAAGCCAAGGAAACAAATGCAGTCAGACTGCATTAACCCAGTTGGCACGTTGAAGAGGGCACATGATACACAAACAAGTCCACACCTATGAAAGAGAGCAAGAGAAGTCAGCTTGAGTACAATAAACACTGAAATCATCAGCCCAGCAACTTCTCTGGCTCCAATGCTAACAGCAAGCAGCTTCACAGAACTGATTTCCTCTATAGCCAAGTACTGTGATCACTGATCACAGTTACTCTCAGAAATTAACAGCCTACAATTTGGCTTTTAGCCATTAGTCTCTTGTGGTTCTGGTTTGAGTGGGGTCAATATCATAATCCAATTTCTCTGAATGACTAATAAAGAACTGATTTAAGATCTACAAACTAGCTGGGCAGTGGTGGTACATGCCTTTAATCTCAGTAATCCGGAAGCAGAGGCAGGCAGGTCTCTGAGTTTGAGACCAGCCTGATCTACAGGATAGAATGAGTTCCAGGACAACCAAAGAAAGGTACACAGAGAAACCCATATCTTGAAACAAAACAACCCTACAAACAAGAGAGGGTGGGGGGTCATCTTGCCATTCTCAGTAATAAAGCAGGCCTCATTCTCTTTCCGTATAAATTATTCCTAATTGACTAGAAGAAGGGGTGGGGAGAATTAGCCACTTTATCTCCTCCTGAACCATAGGTTCACAAAAGAGATGTTTAAACAGATAAACACTTTGTGATGCTTAAGCAAGACAGAGTGAAAGACAGAAGTGCTGTTCTGCAAGCAATCAGACACTTGGGAAACTGATGATTTACCTAGGAACACCTTTTTTGTTTTTTGAGTCTAACAAAAAAGACAATAAACAAAATTATACTCAGTGGAGTATGGGTTACTCATGCCTGACATCTAGC